TTACTAATGAGGTTTTACTTTTCGCAAATAAATAATGTAAAACAATAACAAAAATTGAGGACGTTTTCGCGACGAATTTATGATCGACTGAAATGAAAGAATGAAGCGACGGATCCTACCAGGATGGAATTTGGTGGGAAAAGCGCAACGCAGGACTCGCGCAAACAGTTCGATCGGTCGCGTTCGCGGACAGGACGCGGGCGACGTGCCGGAGAGCGCGGAGTGTGGATTTACGAGACAATGATCAAGAGATGACCGTGGTCCACTGCAATTACGGAAATGGTTACTCCAGGCAATCGGGTTAACTGGTAGATTGCGATCGATCGTCCCTTAGCCGCGTAAGGAACTGCTGCGCAAATAACCATCCAGAGGTTCTTGCTAATCTCGCGGGAAACCGATCGAAAACACGGTTCACAATTTATGTTGCGCATCGGCCAAAAAATAATGTTACTGGACAGATTGATATGGTAGATGCACACATGTTACCTGAACACCAGATATTTTCTATTACGATACTGCTTGCAATCTGGGCTGATGCATAATTATTCGCCGTTCACGTAGGCAATTTTTTGTGAAAATTGCCGTTTTGTTTATTCTTCTTTTATAAAAATATTCTCCTATGCTTAGTCGATGAAAATGCGTGTCGAAAATCATATTCATGTTCGTGTGTGGTTTGCCAGTTTTAAATCGGGTGATAACAGCTTGGAGGACGATCCAGGATAATTATGCATCGAGCTGCCTTGCTCGCTTAAAATCTATTTAATGGAATAAGCATAACTTGGTATAAAACGGTACAAGTCAAGCAGATGAATCGATCGCGTCATTTGGATTCTGCGATTTGTGATCGACTGGAGTGACCATCGACGTATTGACCATGGTCATCCCTCGGTTACGTTTGTACAAATCCACGCGCTTTACCGCTAGACACGTCCCATCCATCTGTCTATAATATTAATACATCTGAACGTTGCCCGAAATTTATCCATTCTACTGCTTTACAATCTGTAAACGAATTAAAAACGTGTTTACGATCAGTCAATTATTCATGCAGACATGAGTTAGTCGACGAGTGAGTCAAATCCCTTTTCCTAGTTTTAGGACTTCGTATCGGAGTTTTGAAACATGGTTTCGTTCTACCTCGAATACAACAGCGGCGTACATGTTACGTCGGAGGGTTGTACGTATGCATCGATCCGGTATAAAAAATTTACGCGATACGGATAAACGAATCACGATCGTGAAACACGTTCCGACGATGCTTTGCCGGGAAGAAAAAATTGGCCGGAATTCTGGCGTTCGGACGCAATATTTGCGTACAACCGGTCGCGTTACAAGCGGCGCGGCGTTCCGTCCGATTTGCGGAAGCGGCCGCAGCGGATCCGCTGATCAGAGCCCGAAATCGGGCGGACACCGCGTCAGCTGGCAAAGGACGAGCGCGATGATCGCGACGCTTGTTTGGATTTACCGATAACAAACAGGCCGGTATCTAGCCCGGCAGGAACAAAGTCGACCCCGACGATTACAGCGGGTCGGCAAACAGCGCCGCACCGGGCCCGCTGATCGTGCCCGGTCTTTTGATCCTGCGCTGACGCTGTAACAAAAGGCTCGTCGGACTTTAAAACAATCGACAAATTTGTCGCGCGCCGCCGCTTAATCGGGTTAAGGACGAATCGCGCATAATTAGCCGTCCCGCCGCACAGCGTGCGTCGAACGTCCCGTCCACCGCGAGAACGAGCATGTGCGGTCGCCTTTGATCCGTCACACCTGATTTCGTCCCGACCCCGGGACGGACCGAATGTTTTTTAGGGGACGGCCCCGAGTTCTGATCTCTAAAAAGTGGATTAACGCGATCAGCTTCGACCAGGAATTATGCACCGGTTGAGGCGGCGAGGGTCGGTTTTACCGATCTGTTTGCCGAATTTATTATACAGATACTTACGGCTGTGCTACGCGCGGTTCTCGGTCAGTTTTTCCCGTTCCGCGAGTAAATACTGTTTACTGTTGATTCACGATTAAATTAGATTGCATTATAAGTTCGTATGCGAACACGACTAACCGCACGTAGTTTATACCACTGGTTGTCTATTGAATTCATTGTTTTCTTAAAATAGTATTGTAAGTATCTCGATGTTCGCGTCACAGCTTCTTCTCACTGACTTAATATTAAAAGTCACTTTTAAGATGCAGAAGCCAGTGAGTGAATATTGTAAAGTGAACAGAAGTTCGGATATTAAAATTATTATTGGAACGCTGCAATGCGATTATAATAAGAGTTTCCAGTTTCAAAGTATATGAATACGTCCAACTTTCTTCTGTTATGAAACAATTTAGAACGATAAAGCATCGACAATATTAAATATATCAAATGATCGTTATAGAGTCTTAACGCGCGAACCCTCGTATTATCTTCACGGTTCAAGCTACCCCGCAGTGACGCCCCTACGATACACTCACCGTCCGATTCACCCTTTCGTTATAGACAAAGAGAATGGATTATGAATAATTAACGCGAATCTATTACTTAAAGTTGTATGAGTCGTAAGATTTTTGCTAAAAATTTAAGCCAATCTTTTAACAGCAGCTGCTTGAAAATTGCGTCAGGTCCGAATGGTTTGTGACAAGAAGGAATTGAATTTCCCATGGAATAATAAATCTGTATTTTGCATTCGACGTCGGGCAACCGAATCGGATAAAATCGGTCGATAGCACGATCCGTTCAAAGAAAGAACGGCGATCGGCCATTTTAATTCGTTGGCGCGATTAAAAATACCTGCCGCGATCGTGCGAGCTCTCAAATTTCGAGAACAAACACGCGAAACTCCGCGAGCGTAAAATAGAAACGTGCAGGGGAAAAAAATGGACGAGAGGGTTGCAACGAGTTCTGCGATGAGTAAACCCGTCGACCTAGCGTCAAATCCTGTTTCTCCTCGAAAGAGAACACTTCGCATTTTAATCCGATTCCTAAATAGGCGATGCGAGTGCATTTAGGAGGTACTTTTTACGTAGTGGCAAGTGGACGGCGAAGGGAAACGAGGTCGTCGTCGTTAATGTTAGATTTTGTTGACAAGTTCATCTTTGCACATTCGTGTATCATTTAAATTATACATACATATGCATATACGTATATTAATTGTTTATTTAAAAAAGAGTCTTCAGTAAATCTCTACAATTAAAATGAAGTGCATCGAGCATAATAACGCTCTTGTCTTGTACCAAACATTCATGGCAAATCCTTATACATACGATTTCCTACAAATCCACGATAACAAACTGGAACGTCTGAGAGTCCTTAATCCCTGAATTCAGCTCGGTCAGCTGTTGCTATCTCGAAATCCGTTGCAACCATCCTACGAACTTTGGAATCGTGTAAAAACCTCGGGCAATCCGAATTTCGATCGGCAGTCATCCCGGTAGCCCAGTGAACGCCGCTGGTATATCCGTCCTCGAGGGATGTCCGACGAATCTCGGCGCGTTCTTCCCCGTATCCCCCGTGATTTACCAGAGAAAGTAAGACAGACGGAGAACAGAAAACGCGTGGCTAACGCGGGCGGAAGAGGAACGCGTCGAGGAGCGGAGAGGAGCAGCAGGTATGGTAGAGGCGGCTGCCCGGCGGCAGTGGTCGAGCGAGGAAAGCGTTGCCATCGCTACGCCTGGGTATCAGCTTGCCTTCTGGTTGGCCCGAGCGTACGCGGCCCATGAGACTTCGCGGGGTGCAAAGCACGCTTGGCCGAGGTATTGATGCGCCTTCGTCCGACCGAGAGGGACGAGCGCAGGGTGCCGACGTAGGAGGAGGGAGAGGCCATCGGAGTGCCAGACGCGAGGAGCGAACAGACCGTACGCCGGTTACCGTGGATCCGACGAGGACGACGAGGTCGTGGACGGAAAGAGACGAAGTATCGCGTGGGAGCGAGTAAGAGGAAGAGGTACGAGGGAACCGGCAGAAGGGGTGAAAGCGAGAGGTGCCGCGAGTGGGAGAGACACGGAGCGCGGAGAGCCAGAACGCAGGCTCGTTCAGCATGGCCGACGGTTCGTAACCCCCCACGCTGATAAACGTAGTAGTTCTCATATTCGCTGATAGCCGCTCCCACGCGCGTCAGCAGTCGCGTCTTTCCCTCCTCTTCGCCTCGGTCTTCGCTTCTTCCTTACTCCTCAGCGCGCAGCTTTTCGCATTCGCTGCCTCGAGACTCCGCCGGCTCTCTTTCCCTCCTCGATTCTACCTTTTCAGCCAAACTTTCTCGTCGGTTCTTCGAATTTTGGTCCCGCTCTGGACTCTCTTTCACAGTTTTTCTACACCTCTGTCGGCTTCCAAATTCCATTGCCAGTTCGACTCTCTCGTGAAGATTCGAGGAGCTTGACGAGACGAGAAAATACAAAATACGAATGCTCGTATCGACGGGCAGATTCTTTTTTACACGATCCTCCAGTCATCCCTGGTCCGTGTTTTCGCAAGAGTCGTCGCGTCGTTTCGACTCTCGAGAGACTTTCTCGACCACGAATCGTGGACCCGACGGTCGACGCGTATGGGGAAATTATAGAAAGACTTACGTCGCTCGCCAGATTACAGCGGTTACGTAACGATAACCAAATACAGACGGGATCGATTCCTCTTCCGCACTAGCTGCTTTTTCTCTTGAAGATAGTCTCCGTAGACGCGACTCCGTCGAACGAAAATATTCTTCAACGGCATTATGCAACGCGTGAAATACGAACTTTTATCTGGTCAAACGGACGTCTGAAACGTTTACCTCTTGCGAACTTTATGTAATCGATTTGTAAAGATAGTCACTGAATAAATGGGATTTTTTTGAAAAACTAGAAAGACGTCAGGAAGTATCTCTTTAAGTGCCTCTCTAATTCCATTAACATATATGTTATATAAATTAAAATTAAAAGAATTGGAATGTCATTGTTGTAATCGTCTTTTCGCCTCGATAAAAGCATACCATCAAAAGATCTCATATTCCTGTTATACTACTTTACACCGGGTGTATTATTTTCAGCCTGGCGCCCCTAAAACAACACGGAAAATCCAAAGAAGCATCACGGCAACTCGTTCACCCTTCGGTAATTTCTTGGACGCGGAAAGGATTATCCAGGGTCGGCAGGTATGGTCCTGTACATACGTAGATACCTGTCCGAGACGGAAGGCAAAGTCTGCCGAGGGTTCGCGCGTTAGCGCGCGTGTGTGCCCGACCCGGTTTACTTAGGCACGGCCGAGAAATTGAAATTTTCGTAAACTGGGGGGGATTAGGGGGTCCGGCCGCACGACAAACTCCTCGTTAATTAGAATGTAATCCACCGCTTAATGGGACCCGTCCGCCGTAATAAAATCAGACGGCGCGCACCTCGCCACCGCCGTTCTTCGCGGTCTGAGACACCGGCTGGTCCCGTCGATCTCCGCTGCAAGGATCGTTCGGAAATTAAATGGAGCCCGGTTCGAGGACACCGGCCTGGTTTAAGGATCAGCTCGAGGAAGATACACAAGGACCGTTTTAATCCGTACGTGCCACGTTTCTCGTTATATCGGTAAAAATGACCGGGACGAAAATTCAAACATCCAACTGGATATCTGGCTACAATATTATTGTACTCCGGTTTAGCCAGATCGGTGCGCGTATGGACGGACGAAATCCAAGGGGTAAACTCCCCTCTTACGAGAATAATCTAACGAGTAAACGACGGCTACGTAGCCGGCGCGTATCAAGTTGACGTTAACCGGCGTTCAACCAGCGCTGCACGTCGTTTCGCTCGATTGAATTAATTATAAGCGAGCGTCAACAATTACGCCGTCTAACGAACCGGGATAGTTGACCGATCCGACGTACGCGTTACGTTAAACGATTAATTTTACTCCGGTATTCGGCATGTATTCATTCGGCAAAGTTAAATCTAGACCACTCCGATGCTCGTCGCGTCTAAAGCTCTGACTCGTCGTTCTCCAAATTTCAAAACGTTCTCAACGATTAATTCCTTTGATTTAGTATTTTCTTATAATGCAAACTGCATTCTCCACTCTGATAATCCATTAAGAAATCCGATATAAAACCTGATTATTAACGGCAGTGTGAGAACGCGCGGAAGTAGAGGAACATCGGGCAAAAGAGCGAAATTATAGGTCTATTTCAAACCGAATTCGTGGGAACGAATTTGCTGCGAAGAGACCAGCGGATAGAGATAAGTAACATCGAGTCAAATATTTGTCTCATCCGCGAGAGCGTTGGTTAATCGTAGTAACTTTAATTAAAAGTGGCGCATGCTGGTATTACGTGACACGTGAAACAAAATTGAATGACGCTCGTCTGCTTAAATCGTCGCACGAGAGAACGGACGATTTCATATTTTTTCTTGCCAGGCCCCGTTATTTAAAAAAGGTTTAGCTTATGCGAATCAAAATAATAAAGCATTCATTGTCTGGTTAAGTATAGTTTCTGCTTGTTAATTAACGGATCATAAGATAAACCACTGACGAGCTGATTGGAAATAAGAATTTTGCAAATTTTGCCGCGAATCGTCGGAGCTTTAATTTTTTTTATTTTTCTAATTATTTGTGCAGGAAGCGATGAAGGACGCGGGCCGACGCGGCGCGATATATCCAGTTATGAAATTGAATTGAAAATTATATACCAGCTCGCCGGTACGCAGCGTCGCATCGCGCGTCGGTCCACGCGCTGCGTGAAATGTATCAAAATTGTTTGCAGTTTTTATCGTGTTTACCGTGGCAGCGAATTATTATATCGTATTTCCATAAAGCCATTACACTCCATTAAAATGATATTCGCAGCGCGGCGCTAATCGATCGGGCCGCGCACACGCGTAAACTTTTTGTTTATGACGGCCGGGTTTATTGTTACCCCGCCCGCGCAGATCGAAATTATATTTTTATATTTTACGCCCGCCACGCTTTTTCAGTTCGTTATTCATCGCTCGATTATCTGGCTGCTTACCCCACGAGAAAATAAATATCAGCGCGCCGCGATATTAATTACAAATATTCATATTAACGTCCGGCGAGTTTGTTTTACTTATTTAACTATATAAACCTATCGACACTGTTTCGGCGCTAATACGCTGCATTTTTTTTAATACCCGAATGCAATTTAAGGTTTGCATTAATACCGCGTCAAGCGGATTATTATTCTCATCCGATGGAGATGCGATCTAATTTTAAGAGTCATCGAGCGAAAAATAAAAACCGATTGCTTCGGGATTCTTAGAAAAATGCCTTACTGTGTTATATAGTTGACAATGGCTTCTTGAGAGTTCTAGTATGTAATCGCAAAAATGACATGTCAGATTTATCGCGTCGATAAATAAATATTTAACAGAATGGTTCTAATCTAAAGCTTCGAATATGATGTACGTATGTGTACGGTAGTAAGCACTCAAAGTAATGGCTCGGAATTAGTTGGTCAAATGAACAATCGGTAGATAGGTACTTGAGAACGATTCGTAACGAGTCGAGTAATCGATGTATACACACAATACAGTTTATTTTTCTTTCATCCTCGATGGCTATCAAGCACTACCGTCTCAAGCTGGTTCAAACCCGATCGTTTTACTCAAATTAAATGATTTAACTCGATATACATACGTATAATGCCTAACATGGAAAGCCAAATACAAATTTGTATACCAAAACAAGTGTTTTGTCTCAAATAGGCTTTGGATTTTGTGCAATTATCAAAAAACTGAATGTACAGAAATCATAAATACCATGTATAACGTAAAACAGTTCAGAATATCAAAAACTCAATATTTAATAAATGCTTGTCTCAAACACATTTTTCAAACAGCGAATTCTTTTTACGCAGAAATTGTAGATCTTGTCGTCCCCTACAAAATGGTTCTNTCCGACGTCTGATTTCTTTTTAATTATATGAAATGCGTTTTTCTAAGGTACATAAACTTTGAGATTGACTGTATAGCCAATACATCTTTAAAATTACTTCGATTGTTATTAATCTGCGAATAAGTTTGAATCGTCGACGACTGATTTTCAGTGGAATTTCGTGGCAACGAATTTCAGACTTTTACGAAAGTTACGAAACGGCGCTGAAGAGAAAATAGCGATTCGTGGACGAGGCTGTGTATACGTACACGGCATCCTCGAGCGGACATCTTGTCACTGATTCTCCGCGAACCTTGACTCATCGCCTTTGACGGCGATGCGAAATTCACGCTTGCGCAACCATAAATTAACGAAGCTGCAAATTAGCCTAACACCGCGTGCACATGTACGCCCGTGCAAATAATCTGCATACATACAGAGACAGACGACTGCGCCGCGGATTCTAGAAAGCCCGTGGAGCTAACTATGTACCTATCGAAATGGTCGTTTCATCTAGTGTACTCGTATCTAGTTCAATTATCGGAGAATGTTATTAGACGTTAACGATATTGCCCGCGTTATAAATTTACCCGACTGGAATTAGAGTAACATAATATAAATATGTGTCCATTAAATTATAATGCAGGCATTGTTGTACGGCGTAGGTGATAATTTCTATTTAACGTAATTAGAGTGGTTGCTCAAATATTATCGGGCAATCTAGCAATCTTTTTTATAGCGCTAGTCATCGATATCGATTATCAATGGTATATTACACTATTAAATATTTCTCGTAAATGATTAAAAGCCACCGCCACCGTGTATGCCACCAGCACGTTGTTCAGCTGGTAGACTTTGCTATACCTACCTGTCAGATTTGAACCTCGTCCGTCCAGATCCTTTAGCGTCCCGGTTTAATATCCTCGAATTAACGACGCCGCTTACCATCGAGTCCCGAGAGAGCCGCGCTGATAAAACTCGTCGATGAAGCGTTAAACTCCATGCGAGGGGAGCAGCTTCTGCTGCCCTTCGTATCCTCCTTCGCAGCAGCCTTCATTTTCAACCAGAACCAGAGTTCCCGAAGAGAGAAAGAGAGATACTCGGAGTAGTAGTGGTATTAGTATTAGTAGTAGTAGTAGTAGTAGTAGTAGTAGTAGTAGTAGTAGTAGTAGTAGTAGTAGAAGTAGAGGAACACGCTCTGGTTACATACACGCACTCTGGTCTTCCTCTCCTCGTCGATATCGGCGTAGGCTCCCCTCTCGCGGATCTCGGCCCTCCATAACATCCTCGCTCCTGGCATCGCAAAATCTCCCACCAACGAACCCTCGCTATCTTCTCCCCCGCCATCGAGAGTAACTATATCATTCTCGCCCCTACCCTCGCCGAAGCCGCTCGATTTTTCCTCCTTTCGCGCGTTTTCCCCTCGCTCCTTCGCCGTCCCCTCCGGTTACAACGTTACTCTACCTTCGACTAGAAACCCAACTCCCACGCTGCTCCGTTTCTCCCTTCGCCGCGTCTTCCGAGCTTCTTCTATCGCTCCTTCCACAGCACGCGCCGCCGCTCTTTTTACCCGTTTTTCCGTCCACCGATCCCCCGTACCATCTCGCGGTTCTCCCATCGCCGCTGTACTTTCATCAACCGCTCGCCCCTTTCGGGCGCCGCCAGTTCCCTTTCGCGGACCCTTTCTTTCGCCTTGGTACACGCGGACACGCGTTTAAAGTCGCCGAACCTCTGGTCCCGCGGCACTGCTCCTCGGCTCCGCTCCTGTCCGCTCGGCCGTGCCTCTATCGAACGGGTGAGCGCGCGGGTGTGTGCGCGCGCCCGGTCCCGCGCATGTGTACGATCAAACATTGTTCATGATTTAGTCAAATATTGGCGAGATACACAGGTTTGTAGTACCTCTCGTATATATGATGTATATCTGGCTGTGTATCATGCCGAATAATCCGCGGGAGATTGCACCTCGATTGTCCACCCGTTAACTAAGACTCGTTATTCGCTACCTGGTCTACGCGCCAAATTCTTGTACCCCTCTCTCTCTATCGAGCCTCTGTACCAGTTGCTTAACTGGTAATCGCGAACTACTTGAATAATACACGTACGTTATCGCTAATTCCACTGTGCTGCACTTTCGTTGCAGGCTGTCCCAGTATTGATACAACCGTGGATGGAGAAAATTTCGAATGGATTTGTTTCGTCTTCGAGAACTCGACTTTGATTCTGACGTGAGTACACGTGCATTTGCCTGTCTAAATGTAGAAAAGAGTGATGCACACGGAACACCGCAAAAATCGAAAGGCGATAAATAAATAATAATAATAGTAATAATAGTGGACGACAGAAGATTTTTCTATAATTACAACCGAAGACCATTTTGTTATTCGTCGAGCTGAAAAGTAATCTTTCATAAAAAATAACTCGTGATAGCGAATCGCTATTCTCGTTTATCGGCACTTTTTATGTCGGACTAATTTGTTTCGCGCGTTAAATATTAACGCGACGTTCGATTTAGGGAGCAATAAAGCCGAGATACGTACATACATGTGCGTACGTAATAGAGGAAGGTTTAACGCGTGACGTAAAACGGGCAGATAAGATAATAAAAACATCGCGGCCGTAAATTCGGGCAACGGTATCTGCCGCTAAAGGAAAATCAATATGCCTGGGGAAACTTCGTTCCCGATACTTTCGCTCGGCGTCGAAAATCTTCGGGAATTTTAATTCCTAACACAGACTCCTTTAAAATTGTTCGGTAAAAAAAATTTGGCACAGGAAATTAATGCGAAAGTTGAAAGTGAGGGATGCTTTGTAAAAACTAATTGAATCGGAAGACAAACGGGATAATTAGGACGATTGACACGTTTATCCACGATTTCGTTAATTCCTTATTACGAGTCGACGGTAATCGATCGCATCGCGAGATTGGTATCGGCGCTCGTCGCGGATAATCTGTCAAATTTTTCACGGTTCGCCGGCGAATCCGTAATTAATGAACGCGTATCGATCGCGTACACAGATTAGGAGAATCGCGGCGACCGACTACGACGACGGTGACGACGACGCGCTGAACGAAAGTCGACGAGAGTGAGCACAGCCCACCGCCCGATTCAAGTCAAATATTATCGGTCGAATTTGTTAATGCTCTTATATCGCGGGAAGCCCGTTTCACTCCGCCAGTTTTTTCATCGATCGAACATCGGAAATATTGAAACGACTCGACGGACGAGCTCTCTTCTTGTCATCAATGTTTCCTTCGAATATTCTGTTTCGATTATAAAATATAAAGTATTGTAAAAATCAGTGAAACGATCGATAATGATTTTCTGTTTGTGGTTCCAACTGGAGAACGTAGTACGTTTGTGGATGAACTTTGTAACTGGGAAACAGGTATGAGAATTCCAATTTGAAGAGTAAAAATTCTTACAAGAGTGTAACTTGGTTCGTCGATGATGCAATCTCACGCGTTACCAGTATCACTTCTACAGTTTGAAAAATATTCCGTCCAAGAGAATATAGCCTAGCAATTTTAATCCTCCGAGCACGAGTACACGAAGAATCGTTAGATCGGTTATGCGGAAGAAATTAAAGTTTACGATATCTGTTCATCAGTTATCTTTAATCGGAACACTGGAATAGCATCCATCATTTACGTGTTTTCATTAACTTCCGCTTTACCGCGTCGAAGAAGAAAATACTGTCGGATATATTATTCCTATTATAAAGGTTTGCACCTATCAGGTATTTTCAATTCACTTATCCGCGTCGAACGATACACGCGCTATCGAAGTACGTAGCGTGATCGCGTGATCGAAACAGCGATTCTACAGAATCGGGCAGCTAACGACGATAACGCGCAGTCGTTCCGATGACGAATATGTGAAGTGAATTTCATGTAATACCTTAATATTACATAACTTTGGAAAATACGTGATATTAATTTTCTAGCAGAATAGAAATTTCTCTACTTTCCTCAGATTCTTCGATCTTAATTTCGTTTTTTACTCGTTAGAATTTACAGTGTTCGCTCGAATAGCCTCGAATAGTGACCCTCCAAGGGTGACCTAAATGATCATTCCTAATTAGCTGCAAACAAGTGCGCCTAGACCGGAAGTATACTGCTATCTGACGTCAGGATTCGATCATTGCACAAAACTGGCAGAATAAATACTTATAAAAAATAAATAATTTATCCAAGGCTATTCAAGTGAAGATCAGTGTACGTCCACTGTATCTCAGATGAAGAACAATTTTGCTCCTTCCAATCGTACATAGCGTGTACCTACCTACCTACCTACCTACCTAATTTTAAGCTTATGTTTCTCCTGCCTTCTCGAGGATGGGGAAGAAAGTGGAATATTTTGCCGGTGTCTTGTGCTTAGAAAAAAATCAATTAGCAAAGTCTTGGTTAATGAATATGCAAGAGGTTGTAATGGTTTGGTGAAAACCTATAGGTAACCGTGTAACGGGTACAAGATTGAAACCGATTTAGAATCTAAACTTAGTTCAGCAATCAATTAACAAGCTTCTATCGAAAAATACACTCGTGAATTCAATTTGAAGTTCTTACGCTTATTTTATATTGCATTCCCCTTGTTTGTACTCTGTATACTCCGAAGAGGTGATTGAGAGAAATCTACTACGAATGATGAAGACTTATCGTACAGAGGAATAAAATAACGAGATGTTACTTAATGAACTTGCAAAGAGGAAGGAAAACGAGGAAAAAAAGAGACTGATAAATCAGTGTTGCGTTTGTACCGTTGGTGATTGTACGTAGTGTAGGTACGTAGAACATAAAGGAAATGGGGAAAAAGTAAAGAACAACTTTCTTCAGAGGGAACGTCGCAATTTCCGTTTGCTCACTGCAAACAGTATCGGTCTAACAAAATTGTTTAACTTTCTTTTCTTTCATTTACTCAAAACCTCGATCGAAATACTTGGGACCTCGATAGAAATCGTTGTACCAAACGAGCGAGTCGACTCCGGATTTTTCTGCAGAATAATAGTACCAATTTTTGATAGACTTTTAGCTTTGAACATTTCGTACGTTTATTATTGTTCTCCATTCTTTCACTGTTCTTTGAAATAATGAAATCCTGTCGTTCTTATGGAAGTGTTTCACATAGAAAAATTGTGTGCCTACTATTGTTTTCCGTTCTTTTACTGATCATTGAAACAATACAATCCTGCGGACTTTATGCAAGCATCTTGTATAAAAAAAGAAGAAATTCCGTCGCATTCATTAGTAAACAAATATGTTTGTACATGGAAAACAATCTTCACCTCGTCTGCAGTTTTTCCGTTAAATGCACAAGATGCACAGTTTGGTGATAAGAATAGCTGTGACGAGTAAATGAAGTTCTATAATTATTTAAACGGGAAGGTGTAGACGTGAGACAGAGATGTTCGTAGAAATACGTGGATTTATTGAAACATTTACATCCTCGTTTGCTCGGGTCGCCTCTCCGGCGGTCGGCCCAAATCTCGCGAGGGCCGCCGGAGCGTCGTATCCGCTCTCGCTCTCGTGCTGGCGTGCGTACATGCGTGTATATACATACGATCTAGCCACAGAATCACCAGGTATCACATACCGAACGACGATGATTCCGAGGTTAATACGTTCGCTCATCCCCGGGCCGGAAACGACACTGAAAAATGTATACGTCCGAAAACGGCGGTTCGAACAAGTAGAAGTTATAGAGAACAGGGAAAGATTCTGAAACGGCGGCTCGCGGGCAGGACGAAAAACGGTAGGTTCACCGATCCCCCGCGGGGAGAATATCCGTGGACAAGCGCGCGGACGAATGCCGGGACGCGCAGGAACAATCAAAGCGTGAAGATGCACGGCGAAGAGATTTATTTTTTTTTTTCTCGCGTTCCCCTTTTCATCGCGGTGCCACCATCCATCGGATCGAAGGCCGAAAGATGATCGGGAAGATAGGGGCAAATAAGATTTCTCACTCGTTCTACTGCCGTCGATAGCCGGCGAATCGCTCAAAAGTTCGAACGCTCGTTTACGCTCGATCGATCGACAAAAATAATTAATCGGTATCTCAATGAGACTGGAAGATCTCCATTTCGATTCCCTGAATTATACGTACAAGAATTCTTTCGACGACGTCAGGATCGAAGTGAAACGCGCGTCGGTACTTTCGAACGATGATCACTGTCGAATTCGACGAGGAACAACTGAACGGTCGGACAGGAGGAAAACGTGGAGGAACACGCTGACTGTAGAGGCCGACGATTTATCTTAACGCGATCGGTGATCTTCCGCGATGCGCGCTGGGCTACATACTCTCCCTGGGTTTCGCCTCTCCTTTATTTACAGGGCGTTTCGAGGTGGGGCGCGTTTCAAAAGCAACCCTCGAGGTTGGTCAGAGTCGAACGGGCTCGGTGGCAGCAAGCTCGAGGGTTCCAGCTGTCCACGGGGAATAGAAGAACGAACGGAGCGGGGCATAAAAGGGAGAGATGCTTTTGAAACTCGCTGTACAATCTTCTCTCTCACACGATCATTCACTCTCTCACTTTGTATAATATATATATATAATATATATAATATGTATATACCTAACATGATGCAATCGTTAGACTCCATTTATTTATATATTTATATTTATAATATTTATATTTATATAGCTCTCTCTGTAACATATATAATATTGTACATCGTACGCGTTACGTTGTGCGGCTATCTACACGTATGATACAAAAAAAACGCTGGACGTGTCCTGCTTTCGACGCTTCTCTTTTAAAGGAATCCTTTAGCTTCTCGGTTTCTCTCCGCGCGTTCGCGCGTGGGCCCGTGTACGTCTGTCCCTTCGTCAACCGTCGATGCGTCAGCGTCTGTATAATTAGTGTAATCGCACACGGGCGCGCACGAACGCGCACCTCTACGCGGCAAATACACAGGCGTCTCTCGCAAGCCTACGTTCATTAATTTAGATTTATTCTCGCGGATTATCACATTTTTTCGCTCGACGCTCGCGCGGCTCCGAGCCGACCATCGAAACGGGCTCTCATCTCGTTCGAAGCCTCAAACTGCCTCGAGACACGTTCCAATTTCTTCTCAATGCTAATTACGATGTTCACGTATTCGCCAAACGTTTACTCGTCGAGACTCTGAGGACACGCGAGTATTAAACTCAGAACGGAATGAAGAATTATTTACGAAAGTCGTTCAGGGAACGAAAGAAATTCGCACAGATCCCGGGATACTGAAAAATGTGTCAGCTTATCGATAAATCCCCGATAAGTCTTTTAATTATTATCGAATGAACGATGCCGATTAATTGCTGATGTAAACGCGTGCGTAATTGCAGCGGGACGATAAGCAGGTAACCGTCGCGCGTCGGAGAACGGAATGAGATCAACGACCGGCGATGAAAACAGCCGATCGGAAAACGGTGTGCATCATCGAAGGTACAGATAATCCGAAAAAAGACCTACGCTATCGCTCTCTGGTATCGCGAACTATGTGCTCGATAAACAATCGTCTAGCGATTGTCTGTGCCCGTCTTTTGTCTCGCGGAGACGCGGGCAATTGTAAATGCAGATCGACAGGAAATTGTAAGCGAACGATAGACACGACGTTTCTCCGTTATAAAAATACATTTTCTTAAACGAAATGGAATCGTGAGTTCAGAGTTTCGACAAGCAAACTTCTTAAAATAAACGCGGGAAGATCCGTGCAGGTACGTGTCTCGAAGCGCCAACAACAAACTCGATTCAATCGGTCCGACCAACTTCCTTCGACGCGAAGGAAATTGCACTGCTGTATTGCAAATAGAAACGGATCGTTCGACGACGACTACTACGTTTCGCTTCGTAACCCTTCCGTTCCCTTTCGTTTTAGTTGGCGAAACACGCGTACGACCGCGAATGCACGACGATCGATCGAAAGAAAAGGATCAGAGAGGAACGAGGGGGTAGTCGATGTTCTAGACGAGCGTCACGTATCGCGGATCGTTGTCGCGTATCACAGAAAATATTCCTCGAGATGCACAGCTTCGTTCGTAGCTTCGAACGAACGAAATCGAACTGACGAAAGCAATTAGGTCTGTCGCGCGTCGTTAAATCGCGATCTGAGTCACGGGATTCGAGTGGCGCTTAATCGGCATCTCGATAGATTTTTCCGTCGCAACGAAACGATCGATCGCCCCGATCGACGATACGATGTCGATGCACGTTCAGAATATAAAAACGAACGAAAGATAACCGACTACTATTGAGAAATAGCTACTTGGAACGTCGAGAATGAGTTTGCAAGTTCAAACAAAATCTACTATAAATAGAAATAAAAATTTCATCTTAAAGCTCGTGCCAATATCGAGACAAACATTTTACTTTTCCGCAAATATCGAGATTCTTTAACGTCGTACTTGGCTAATCGTAAATCTAAATAATTTCAAACGAGATTCCTAGCAAAGTGTTTGGAAATAAATCTGTTTAAAGTAGCAGATCGTGGAAACATCGACATCGTTCGGACGAGAGGCAACGTTGCTCTTCTTAACAAGCCGAATATGAACGCGAAATGAAAACGAGACAAGCTAGTGAAATCGAAACAAACAAACAGTCCTCCGAAGTTTGTAAAACGTTCGCGCGAAAAATACAGAAGATGCTTGTCAAACGTGTCCGGGGTTAATAAAACGAATCGGGAAAGGGTTTCGAGTTAAGAAGAGCAGAACGCTCGAAAGGAATCGGTGTTCGTTCACGATTCGAAATAGCTTCCATCAAAGGATCACGCGACCATAACAACCCACAATAAAGATGCCTCGAGTAGTACTTAACATCACACTAAACGACCTACCAACAATTATCCCGACCATGTATAAACCAAACTCACGGCCACCCATACAGCTGTCGCGATCAAACGTCCACTCCTTTCGGTAGAAATAAATCCGAAAATTCGCACCTGCCTATGGCCTCCTTCGCCTCCGAACGCGGGCGCCTCGACGCCCGTCCCCCGAAAAATCGACGAAGATCCAGGCCGCCAGATTCTCACCTCGATAAAACTTCTCACACGATATCCTCCTCGTCGTCTTCTTCCTCCTCTTCGTCGTAATCGTCCACGTGAACGACCGGTGGCCAGCAAGTCTCGACTTGACCCGCGTCGTCGCAACGACGTCGTCGTCGCTCTTGTCTCTCGGCCGGTTGCTCCTGCTGCGACGAGGTCGGAGCACGGAGCGTCGTCGGCGCAGCCGTTGCCGAGGAAGCAGAGGACGACGACGACGACGAAGAGGACGGCGTCGGTTGAATTTGCTGCTGCTGTTGAGTAGGAAGAACGAGGTTCGTCGTGTTCGAGGCGGTGGCGGCGTACGCCGCAACTGCAGCGGCTCAGGCCAAGGCGTAAGGGTGCGTGGCGTGGTGTCACAAGCCCGGCGTCGCGGTAGCGACGGTAGGCGGCGGTGGCGCGCTGCTGCTGGCGACGCTGGTCGCGTGATGGTAAAGCGGTGTCTGGTAATACTCTTGATGATGATGGTTGGACATATTGTGCATGGGACCGGCAGCGTTCGAGCCCGTGTGCATGCCGTTGTGATGATGATGACTCGGCGGCGCGGAATGCGCGTGAGGGTGATGCGGCGAGCCGAAGTTCGCGTAACTCTGGTGCAGCTGTTCGTACATCTTCATCTCCGGCGGTTTGGTGTCCTGTGCGCCGGGCGACGCTCCTGCGGCGCCCGGTAGTAACCTCGTGATGCTGAAGGGATGGCTGGCGGCAGTGTACGGTGGTTCCTGCTTCAGACTGCCCGTCATTCCGTGATGAAGGGCGGCGGGGTCGGAGATCAGATGCGGATGGAGACTTCGGCTGACCATAGCCGTGAGTTCGTCGTGCGCAGCGCCTAAGTCTGGCCCAAGGAGGCCGCCTATGTCCGTCGCGTCGCTCTTTAAAGCGGCATGATGCTGATGAAGACTAGCCGCGTGATGGTGGTGATGCGACGACACCAGGGAATGTAAGTCCTTGTCGTCCTGCTGCTGTGGTCCGTGGTGAAGCGAAGACGGGGTTTTCTTCCCGGCTAGGTCGTGCGACGTCGGACTGTTGTGTCCAGCAACGGCGGCGGCCGCAGCAGCCGCAGCTGCCGCCGNCTTGGCTAATCGTAAATCTAAATAATTTCAAACGAGATTCCTAGCAAAGTGTTTGGAAATAAATCTGTTTAAAGTAGCAGATCGTGGAAACATCGACATCGTTCGGACGAGAGGCAACGTTGCTCTTCTTAACAAGCCGAATATGAACGCGAAATGAAAACGAGACAAGCTAGTGAAATCGAAACAAACAAACAGTCCTCCGAAGTTTGTAAAACGTTCGCGCGAAAAATACAGAAGATGCTTGTCAAACGTGTCCGGGGTTAATAAAACGAATCGGGAAAGGGTTTCGAGTTAAGAAGAGCAGAACGCTCGAAAGGAATCGGTGTTCGTTCACGATTCGAAATAGCTTCCATCAAAGGATCACGCGACCATAACAACCCACAATAAAGATGCCTCGAGTAGTACTTAACATCACACTAAACGACCTACCAACAATTATCCCGACCATGTATAAACCAAACTCACGGCCACCCATACAGCTGTCGCGATCAAACGTCCACTCCTTTCGGTAGAAATAAATCCGAAAATTCGCACCTGCCTATGGCCTCCTTCGCCTCCGAACGCGGGCGCCTCGACGCCCGTCCCCCGAAAAATCGACGAAGATCCAGGCCGCCAGATTCTCACCTCGATAAAACTTCTCACACGATATCCTCCTCGTCGTCTTCTTCCTCCTCTTCGTCGTAATCGTCCACGTGAACGACCGGTGGCCAGCAAGTCTCGACTTGACCCGCGTCGTCGCAACGACGTCGTCGTCGCTCTTGTCTCTCGGCCGGTTGCTCCTGCTGCGACGAGGTCGGAGCACGGAGCGTCGTCGGCGCAGCCGTTGCCGAGGAAGCAGAGGACGACGACGACGACGAAGAGGACGGCGTCGGTTGAATTTGCTGCTGCTGTTGAGTAGGAAGAACGAGGTTCGTCGTGTTCGAGGCGGTGGCGGCGTACGCCGCAACTGCAGCGGCTCAGGCCAAGGCGTAAGGGTGCGTGGCGTGGTGTCACAAGCCCGGCGTCGCGGTAGCGACGGTAGGCGGCGGTGGCGCGCTGCTGCTGGCGACGCTGGTCGCGTGATGGTAAAGCGGTGTCTGGTAATACTCTTGATGATGATGGTTGGACATATTGTGCATGGGACCGGCAGCGTTCGAGCCCGTGTGCATGCCGTTGTGATGATGATGACTCGGCGGCGCGGAATGCGCGTGAGGGTGATGCGGCGAGCCGAAGTTCGCGTAACTCTGGTGCAGCTGTTCGTACATCTTCATCTCCGGCGGTTTGGTGTCCTGTGCGCCGGGCGACGCTCCTGCGGCGCCCGGTAGTAACCTCGTGATGCTGAAGGGATGGCTGGCGGCAGTGTACGGTGGTTCCTGCTTCAGACTGCCCGTCATTCCGTGATGAAGGGCGGCGGGGTCGGAGATCAGATGCGGATGGAGACTTCGGCTGACCATAGCCGTGAGTTCGTCGTGCGCAGCGCCTAAGTCTGGCCCAAGGAGGCCGCCTATGTCCGTCGCGTCGCTCTTTAAAGCGGCATGATGCTGATGAAGACTAGCCGCGTGATGGTGGTGATGCGACGACACCAGGGAATGTAAGTCCTTGTCGTCCTGCTGCTGTGGTCCGTGGTGAAGCGAAGACGGGGTTTTCTTCCCGGCTAGGTCGTGCGACGTCGGACTGTTGTGTCCAGCAACGGCGGCGGCCGCAGCAGCCGCAGCTGCCGCCGCGCCCCCGCTGTGATGCTGCTGGTGTTGTTGATGCTTGTTGTTCTGCCTGGTGAGCTCCTTCTTCTCGTCCTTGAACCTCTTCTGCCGACGCAGGTAACAACCGTTCTCGAACATGTTCCCGCTGTCCGGGTGTAGAGTCCAGAAAGAACCCTTCCCCGGCTTGTCGGGCGTTCGTGGGACCTTCACGAAGCAATCGTTGAAACTGAGCGAATGCCTGATGGAGTTCTGCCAGCGCTGCTGGTTCTGCCGATAGAACGGGAACAGATCCATTATGAACTGGTAAATCTCCGACAACGTGAGCATCTTGGTCGGTGCATTCTGTATAGCCATGGTGATGAGGCTGATGTACGAGTACGGTGGTTTCGCGTGGGTGTAAGCTCTCCGGTAAGATTTGTCAGTCCTCGCGCGTTGCAGAGCCGCGTTCGGGGAGTCTGGTTCGGTCAGAGAAAGAGGATCCCTGGTGATCCCGGCGCCGCCGCCCGGCGTCAACGTGCTGTACCCGACGCCGCCTATACAGGCGCCGGCGTTTCCCATCGACGCGCTCCCATAGCTGCCCATGCCGCCGCCGCCCATCGATGCCATGCCCATCGCCGAGCTCATGGTGTTCATGTTGAAACCTCCGGCGCCCTGAGGGCTACAGCTGGGCCCGACTCCGACGCCCATCGACATGCCCATCGGCATCACCGAGTTGATCGAGCTGTACGTCGGCGCCATGCTGCCCATCGTGGACATCGCGGCGCTGGTCATCGCGCCGCCCAGGCAGCCGTCGCTGTACAGCTTCTGCGACTGGAGCATGGTCATAGAGGTCACCGGTGCCGGGGTGCCGGACTGTTGTCTGCTCGTCAAACGGGAATCATGAAAACCGCGGTACCACGGCTGCTGCTGGTAATGCGACGATTCCTTAATCTTCCCGTCGGGGTTGGGGTAGCCCCGTCGCACCTCCGGACGCGCACTTACAAACGGAAGGGTGTATATTCACCGCCTCTCGATCGCTGGGACGCGCGCTCGATGATCGAGAGGCGCGTAACAAACTTCGAGATTCCTGGTCCTGGTCTCCGGCGACGCGAAGACAACACTGCTGTTTAAAAGTTCTTCTGATTTATCTTTATACTCTCTGTAACACGAAGCACTATCGACGGTCGACACTGAATTATTTCTCACTGAATCTTCAACGTCGTGACATATCTCGTTCCTCGTACACCAGTGGAAATCCTGTTTAGTCACTTTTAATCGCTGAGAAACCCGAACTGGGAAAAAACGAGCACTAGCCGATTCGTGAAACTGGCGCGCGACGACAATAAACGCGCGATGAACGACGCGACGACGAGGGGACCTGGGTACGCGCGGGCACCACGACCGTAGGACGAGCAACCGGACCGAGCGAACGGATCGAGGTTGTTTGAGCGGGGATCTGTGTATTCGAGCCACCTCGCCTCCACTCTCCCTCGTTCAACCAGTAATACCGTCTCTCTGTCTCTCTGTGTTGCCGTGTGGATGGAGGCCGGTTAGCGAGTGTACCCGCTACTCTCGAGTCTCCCGATCTTGTTCAAACACATCCCACTACCGTCGACCCACCGCCGCGCCCGTTCGGACGCGAATCGACCAATGCCGCCGTTCCAATCCCCACCGTCGCGCAGACAGGACCAATCGAACCTCGCCCCGACGGATCCCCTTTATATCAGGGTGAATCGACGGCGCGATAACGCGCGCGTAGGTGCGGAGAGGCCGCCCCAGCGTTCGCCGAGCCGGGACGGAAAGCGCAGCTGCGAGGTTCGCCGCTTGCGCAATCGTCCCGAGGGACTTCGGGACGCCTGGCCGCGGTGACCGGGACGCCGCCGTGGTACCGACGGCCGCCGTCCCGACGCTCCTCTCATGTCATGTCAACCGTCTGTCCGCCACGAGTTTGACACCTAGAGCGTCCCGGGACGACCCGCGGATTTTCCACCACCGTTTTTTATTACCCCCTTTCGCCTGCTTCCTCCCTTGCGTCGTTTCGTGATTCGCGTATTCGATTTATTCACCGCGGCAAGTCTGAGACGATCTTTCCAAGACGGTGTCTCGATCTTAGTTCGGTGGCTCGTTTTCTACGTCTATCGACGAGTTGATTGGTGTACTTTTTCGTTCCGTGGTGCTGGTGAAAGAAGATCGTGCAGCTGCGACGCGTTGCGACGGCACCGAGCGTCGTTTGCTCGTAATACTCGTAGGTACATTCCTTGTTTTAAATCCGTCGTTCACGATTCAATTCTGCTCGTCGATAATAAACCTTGACCCGGGGTTGGTAAATCTCGAACGTACGAGTTCTTTATCTATCAAAGATTCGATTGGAACAAGTGAACTGCTACATACAGATAACGTTCATTCAGTTAAATAGGAAGCACATCGTTTGTACAAATGTTTTTGACCGTATTATTTGGCTCCTATCTCATTTATACAAAACGATTCGAAACGAGCCGTAGTTTCTTACACGGCTACGAAAATAACAGCGTATAAAAAAACAAAGAACGATGGGAAGTGCGGTAGATGGTGTTTGGCAACGGGAAACTGCAGCTCGTGCCGGCGGTAGCACGGAAATAGATTATTTAAACAAATCCGACAATAAAGTATAAATATTGGATCGTAGCAAATTGCAGTCGGTTTGAACTGGCTCGATCGACTTAAGTACATAAGAATGACGCCGGCTTCATTACCCGTGTCAAAGCTAGATAAACTCAAACATAGGTACTCGATAACGTTTAATTGCAACAACAAATATACCTACCTATAATATTTATCTATATCCACGTAACAGTGATCATTTTCTAAACAGCTCGTGTGATTTCGACGTTCCGAGTACAATTAAATTTGTGCAGTCGTTTCTACACAGAATCAGATATAAGAATGGTAAAAAGAGGTGTTACTCTTGCACTGCCGTGGCACGTGAAAAGTTAAAGGGTTAATCAAAATTGTAAGTATAGAAACGATATAACGAGAGGATGTTCGATATTCAAGGAATAAAAATAATCGTAACACGGTTTTACGATGAAAATCGGCAACGCGCGAGCCCGAGCATTCGACAATCGAGTTACGAAATCGAATTTTCCGGTATTTCGACGCGTCCCGCCGCTCGATCAGCGCCGATTAATCGTTTATCGCGTCTCGAATAATTAACCGTCCGTGGTCCATGAATATTAAACGCGCGTAATAAAAAGAGATCGGATTTTCGGCGAATAATTCGTTTAGCTTAACTCGATCGGTTCCGCGTTCGCCCGATGCCTCCGAGCTCGCAAGTCGAATCGAGTTCTCGTTGTTTCATCTTCTTACGACGAAATCTCAATGTAATTACGATTAAGTAAAATCTGTGAGGATAAAATCAGCCAAAGATTTCTCTGGCTTCCATTTTTCTAACACGTATTATAATTATAGTGGGTTTCTCACACCTCTACGTTATTGATAAGCAAAATGTTAAAACGCACTTACATAATTTCGTTACACGGTGCGAAAGAAGGCAAAGTACGAATAGGTACTACTTTTAAATGTTTGCTGGTCAAACTTCTGCGTATCTCCTGCAACGAGGAAGGAATGTGTACCTGCACCTATATGCTTTCGTTTTTTCACTGTTTTATCACCGTCGTCGGACGGCTCGCCGCGCAAATCAAATATTCCCGCGAAATTGATTTTAACGCAAAAACTTGGATCGGCCGGAAAAATCTTTCCGCTATCGCCGGCCCGGGGAAGGCCTTGTTTGCCGTCGACCAATAGCTTCGAGACGACGCGACGTTCTCGTTTCTTTTATCCACCGCGCTTTCTACCGCCGTCCGTTAATTAATAACGATTTATGCCCAATTCCGATCGCTTAAAAGTTGACTCGATTTGAAAAAATGTATAAACATTTGCATTATCCCTCGCTGTTCCATTTCCGTCGTTCGCTCGTAGCTATAACGTGTTTAATAAAACTCGAGTGTAAAGTCGGAAACGTTTAGCTCTAACGTACGTACGCGTTATCGCGAGGTATCTACCGATTATCAATCCCATAGGCGTCCAATTCCACGAATACAAGGGCTACATTAATCGCAGTACGCGTGTAAGAAGCATTTCTCTCGCCTAATACAATTTTTAATAAATCCTGAACAAGGGGAGAGTCACCAGTTTTAAGTTTTAGTATGTAGAATCTACTCGTTCGTTTAATAAACGATAAAATGTACAGCAACGAGTTCTGTCGGTTTATCGACTACCTATCGACCTGTCCGTCGGCCCTTCTATCTCGTCCAGTGACTACCGATTAACCGTCCCCTCTAGTTACGATAAAGCTATCTCTAAATATCTATCTATCTATAATATAACGAGAAAATATCACGGAAAAAGTAAGTAAAATTAGATGGTAGGCCAAATGGTAGACAGACATTAAAGATGAGACAGTGGTGGACGTAGCATTTCCGGCCATTGAAACATTTGTTGTTGTACATAATTATTGTGCAGAAGTGGGTACAAATGGAAAGAAGGCTTGCCAAATATGCTACATTAGTGGCCAAAAATAGTAGCAAACGTATGTTCTGCGATGATGCAATGATTTTCTTCAATTACTATGCTTCGGACGTTGTACATATACGTTGTAATATTTTAATTGTCTGTATATTTAGGACTGAATTAAAATACTTTTCATTTACCTATTTTTCTTCTACGTTATACCGTGGGACGGAAACGGTTAAGATGGCCAGAAATGGTATATCTATTCATCCCAGTTTATCCCCGAATTAGAGTTCGAAAGACCTAGATGGTAAAATGGCAGAAGGCTCGACCAGCAAATCTTCGGTCACTTTGGCACCGCATATTATTATCCGCGGTGGTCTTCAGAACGGACCGTCGTTTGTTTTCCTTCATGCGGTTTCTCAGCCATAAACACCACGGGATTATCTCTTTGTTACTGCCCCGACGTTATTTCTTCCCTTTCATGGGTAGCCTAAAATCGTGTAACGGACCTTGTTTCAGGCTTTCGTATTTTATTACCATTCTATCCTTTCATCGCAAACGCGTTCTACAGATTCTTCGGCGTACCTGTACACAAAATCCGAATATCTCCGGGCGATTTTATTCGAGGTTGAACTTATCGCTCCTACCGAAAAGAGGGACATGGAAGAAAACAAGAGAAACAGGAGGCATCGGTGGCACGGGCGTGATGGGCCGACGAATCGAAGGCATACAACTCGATGATTCAAGCGTTTAGAGTCGGCTAATACTTTACTCGAGAGATTCGTAAACACACACACGTATATATATACATA